GGGAGGAGGGGGGATGGGTGAAGGGAAGAGGGAGGAGGGGGTGGAGGGGGAGAGAAGATGGGGGAAGAGGGGAGGGGGAGAAGGTAAGATGGAAGATGGGGGGAGGAGGGAAGATGGGAGGGAGGAGGATGGGTGAAGGGAAGAGGGAGGAGGGGGTGGAGGGGCGAGAGAAATGGGGAGAAGACGGAGAGGAAGGGTAGGATGGAAGATGGGGGAGGAGGGAAGATGGGGAGGAGAGTGGGGGGATGGTGAAGGGAAGAGGGGAGAGGGGGATGGAGGGGGAGAGAAGATGGGGAGAAGAGGGAGAGGGAAGGTAGGATGGAAGATGGGGGGGGATGGGGAGGGTGAAGGGAGAGGGGAGGAGAAGTAGGAAAGGAAGGGGAAGAAGAAAGGTGGGGGAGGAAGGGGAAGAGACGAAGAAGGAGCAAAAAGGGTAACGGAGACAGGCAAAAATGAGAAACAAGTAAATAGTAAGCTCACTCTCAATCTTATTCCTCAAACTCACTCCCTAACTCACTCACACGTTAATAAGCTTACGCCCTAAGCTCACTTCTCAAACTCACTCCCCAACCTTACTCTCAACCTTAATCCTCAAACTCACTCCTTAACTCACTACTTAATCAAGCTTACTCCTCAAACTCACTCAAGTCGATCTCACTCCTCAAACTCAAACTCAAGCTCACTCAAGCTCAAGATCACTCCACAAACTCCACAAACTCAAACTCACTCAAGCTCGAGCTCACTCAGCCTTCAGCTCACTCCACAAACTCAAAATCACTCAAACTCAAACTCACTCCACCTTCAGCTCACTCCACAACTCCACCTCGCTCCCGGCCGCGCCTCGGACTCACCATGGTGCTCGCACTCCAGATGCACCAGCTTATCCGACGAAGAAGAGCAGTTACTCTTGAGCACGAGCTGCAGGGGCGTGTGGGCGAGGGCGGAGGCGTTGGGCTCCAGCCTGACCCGCGGGCGTCCCTGGGGCTCCACCACCCTCAGGAGGTTCGTGTTGACGGAGCCGTTGGAACCGAGTTGGGCGCAGACGAGGTCGCTCCACTGGGTGGTCCAGCCCTCGGAGCAGACGGTCGCCCACGTGCTCTGGCCGCTCTGCGTGGCGTGGGGACGGGTTAGAAGGGTGGGGTGGGTGGTGTGTGTGTGTGGTGTGGGGGGGGGTGTGGGTGTGTTTGTTTGTGTGTGTGTGTCTGTGCTTGCGTTTGCGTGTGGGTTTGATAACTTTACTTCCAACACAATACCAAAGCTTCAACCTGCCCCCCTCCTCTCCCTCCCCGCTTCCACTCCTCTCCTCTTTTCCCCTCCTCTCCCTTTCCCCGCACTCCCCTCCCTCCCTCCTTTTCCCCGTCCTCCCCTCCCCTCCTTTCCCCCTCCCCCTCCCCCTTTCCCTCCTCCCCCTCCTTCCCCTCCCCCTTTCCCCATCCTCCCCCCCTCACCCCTTCTCCCCCTCCCCCACCCTCCTCTCCTTCCCCTCCCCTCCATCCCCCTTTCACCCTTCTTCCCTCCCCCTTCTCCCCCTTCCTCCTTTCTTTCCCCTCCCCGCTTTCCCCCTTCTCCCCCTCCCCCCCTTTCACCCCCATCCTCCCCCCTTCCCCCCCTTTCACCCCTTCTCCCCATCCCCCCCATCCCAATCCCCTTCCCCCCATCCCCTCCATCCCCCACCCTCCCCCTCCCCCCATCCTCCCTCCCCTCCCCCCCTTTCCCTCCCTTTCCCCCCTCCTCCCCGGCGTCCTACCTGACTTCGAGCTGCCTGGTCCCGCTGTCGATCCGGAGGCAGTGCCACTCGTCCGAGCCGTCGTGGCACTGTGCCTGGCCGTCGCAGAGTTGGGAGGTGGCCACGCAGCCGCCCACGTGGCACGCCGTCTCGTCCTGCCCGGCGCATTCTGAGGGGGGAGGGAGAAAGGGAGGGGGGGGACAAAAAAATGATAACAAAACATGAAAATAAAACAAAATAAAGTACAAGACAAGAAAAAAGAACCAAAAAAATGATAACAAAAACATGAAAAACAAAAACAAGACAAAAAAAAAACCCGCCTCGCTCACCGCAGTCGCGCTCGTCCTCGCCGGCGTAGCAGTCGGGGCGGCCGTCGCAGGTCCGCGCGCGGGGCACGCACCAGCCCTCGGGGCACCGGAAGAAGTCGCTGCCGCAGCTCTCCGTGCAGTTGAGCTCGTCGGAGTGGTCGCTGCAGTCGGGCTGGCCGTCGCAGCGCAGGCTCTCGGGGATGCAGGCCGTCGCAGAGGACCCCGACGACCCGAAGAGCCGCTCCTGCCGCCGCCGCCGCCGCCGCAGCGGAACTCGTCCGCGCGACATTCCCACGAGTCTGCGGGCGGGAGGGGGTGAGATGGGGGAGGGTGAAGGGGGAGGGAAGATGGGGGGGAAGGGAGGAGGGAAGATGGGGAGGGAGTGAGATGGGGGGGGGGGAGGGGGGGAGAAGGGGATGGGGGGAGGAGGGGGAGGGGAGAAGAGAAAGATGGGGGAGGAAGGGGAAGTGAGGGGACAAGAGGTAAACACGGAGATAAGAGGATACGAAGAGGGTAACGGAGACAAAAAAAAAAAAAGAGAAATAAGAAAACAAAGTTAGGAGAGAAAAAAAAATCCAAACAAAACAAACCCAAAAGAAGCCAAAAAAAACACACACACACACAAAACAACACACACAAGACCAATAAACAAACGAAACAAACGAAACGAAACGAAAAAAAACAACAACTCACCGCAATTCGTTTCGTCGCTATCGTCCCGACAGTCGTTGACGCCGTCGCACACGAACCGGCGCTCGAGGCACTCGCGGTCGGCGCACTGCGGAGGAGAATGAGGTGAGGAGGTAAGGAGAGAGAGATGAGGTGAGGGAGAGGAGGAGGGAGAGAGATGAGGTGAGGAAGAGAAGAGGAGAGAGATAAGGTGAGGAAGAGGAGGAGGAAGAGAGAGGAGGGAGAGAGGAGGAAGAGATGAGGAAGAGGAGGAGGGAGAGAGATAAGGGGAGGAGAGTGAGGGAGGGAGAGGAGGAGGGAGAGAGAGGAGGAGGGAAGAGGATGAGGTAAGGGAGAGGAGGAGGAAGAGGAGGAGGAGAAAGGGATGAGGTGAGGAAGAGGAGGAGGGAGAGAAGGAGGAAGAGAAGAGAGAAGGAGAAGAGAAGGAGGAGAGAAAGAGGATAAGAGAGATAAGGAGGAGAGAGATAACGAGGAAGAGGAGGAGGAGAGAGATGGAGGTGAGGAAGAGAAGAGGAGGAGGGAGAAGGGATGAGGTGAGGAAGAGGAGGAGGGAGATGAGGAGGAAGAGGAGAGGAGAGAGATAAGGAGGGAGAGAGATGAGGTGAGGAAGAGGAGAGGGAGAAGGGATAGGAAGGGGAGAGGGAGATAAGGAGGAGAGGGAGAGGAGGAGAGAAGATAAGGAGGGAGATGAGGTGAGGAGGAAGGAGGAAGGAGAGGGAGAGATGAGGTGAGGAGGAGGATGAGGTGAGGAGAGGAGAGGAGAGAGATGAGGTGAAGAAGAGGAGGAGGGAGAGAGATAACATGAGAAGAGGAGGAGGAGAGAGATGAGGAAGGAGAGAGATAATATGAGAAGAAGGGGGGGAGGAGGGAGAGAGATAACATGAGGAAGGAGGAGGAGGAGAGAGATAAGGAGAGAGAAGGAGGGAGAGAGATGAGGAAGGAGAGAGATAACATGAGGAAGAGGAGGAGGGAGAGAGATAAGGTGAGGAAGAGAAGGAGGGAGAGAGATGAGGAAGGAGAGAGATAACATGAGGAAGAGAAGGAGGGAGAGAGATAACATGAGGAAGAGAAGGAGGGAGAGAGATAAGGTGAGGATGATGAAGAGGGAGATAGATAAGGTGAGAAAGAGGAGATAACGTGAGTGAGATAAAATGGGGAAGATGAGGAGGGAGAGAGATAAGGTGAGAAAGAGAAGGAGAAAGGAGATAACGTGAGTGAGATAAGGAAGAGGAGGAGGGAGAGAGATAAGGTGAGAAAGAGAAGGAGAAAGGAGATAACGTGAGTGAGATAAAATGAGGAAGATAAAGAGGGAGAGAGATAAGGTGAGGAAGATAAGAAGTAAGAGAGGTAACGGAGGCGGGAGAGATAAGATATGGAAGGAAATAAAGATAGGAGATAAGGAAGGCAAATAAAGATAGGAGATAAGGAGGCAAGGAATAGGAGAAAAGGTATATATACATCACTCTACTGTCTATCACTATCTACTCGTCTCTCTCCATCCATATATCGTTTATTTCTCTATCCATGCATTTATGCTATTTGCCTTTTTTTTACCTATTCTCTTATTTTACTATTAATTCTGTTTTTTTTTAGTCTATTTCTGGGTTTCATCGTCTTCAGTCTCTCTTTCTCTTTCTCTCGCACATTCACACTCTCGCCCTTTCTTTCATTCTCTCTCTCTCTCTCTCTCTCTCTCACCCACTCACTCACTCACTCACACACACACACACACACACACACACACACACACATACACACACACATACACACATACACACCACACCCCAGTCACTCGCTCACTCTTACTCACTCTCTTTCTCTCTCTCTCACACACTCACACTTACACTCTCATTCACGCACACTCACACACTCACACCCTCCCTCTCCCTTTCTTTCCCTCCCACTCACACACTCACCCTCCCTCTCACTCACCCATCACTCACTCACTCACTCACTCACACACACACACACACACACACACACAACACACACACATACACACACACACTCCCAGTCACTCGCTCACTCTTACTCAGACTCTCTTTTTCTCTCTCTCACACACTCACAACTTACACTCTCATTCACGCACACTCACACACTCACACCCTCCTCTCCCCTTTCTTTCCCTCCCACTCACACACTCACCCTCCCTCTCACTCACACACACAACCACACACACACACACACACACACACACACACACACACACACACACACACACACACACACCCACACACACACTCCCTCATCCCTCACACGCACACACACACACACACACACCCACACACACACACACACACACACACACACCCACACCCACACACACACACACACACACACACACACACACACACACACCCTCCCTCACACCACACTCCCTCCCTCTCCCCCTCCCCTTCCTCGCCCTCCCACTCACCATGAAGTTTCCGAAGCACTGGTTTTCGAAGCATCCCTGCTCGTCCGAAGCGTCCGAACAGTCGCGAACGGAGTTGCAGCGAGAAGGTTTCGGAATGCAGACGCCACTCGGACTCGACCCCGAGACGCACCGGAACTCGTCTGGGTGGATAAGACGGAAGGGAATAAAGGGGGGGGAATGGAGGAAGAAATGGATATTTATAGGTATGTTTGTATGTATACATGTATATATGCATGTATATATAGATATATAGATATATATATATTTTTTTTTTTTTTGGGGGGGAGGGAGGCTGACATGTAAAGAAGAAGGAGAGAGAAATTGTGAAAAAGATGGATTTTTTTTAGGGGGAGGTAGAGATGGAGGAATTCGTCTATTTTTTTTTTTTTTTTTTTAAGGTAGAAAAAGGGAGATTAAGAAAAAATGGATATATTTTCTCTTTCTTTTCTTGGGAGGAATTCGTCTGAGATAAAGAAGGTAAAATAAAATGAGAAAAGGATGGAGTAGGGGGGGGGGGAGGAAAGGGAGAAGGAAGAGATTTGTTTTTTTTTTCTCTTTTTTTTTGAGGGGAGGGGGAGGACATAAAAGAAAGGAAAAAAGAGAAAATGATGGATGGATGCGTGTGTGTGTGTATGTACATATATATATATATATATATATATATATATATATTATATAATATATATATATACATACATACATACATACATACATATATATATATATATATAATATATATATATATATATATATATATATATATATATATATATACACTTTCTGGGGGATTGGTGGGATATGGAGGAAGAAAATTGTCTGCTATATGTGGAAAACGAGAGAAAAGGACGGATATTTTCCATTCCCAGGGGAAGGAATGGAAGAAATTCGTCTGAAATCAAAGAGAAAAAGATGGATAATCTTTTAAAGTCTTTTCCTGGGGGGGGGGGTGAAGAGAGAGGGGAGGAAATGCATCCGAGAGAGAGACGGCGAGAGCGCCAAGAGCAGCGCCTCACACACGCACCTTCGCCGCAGACCACCGGCGGAGGCTCGGCCGCAGCGCTGGCGTTGGCGGCTGCCGCTCCCGCAGCGGGCGCCGGCGCCTCCGTCTGGGGGGCGGCGGGCGTGGCTTCGCTGGAGGACGTGGAGGTCGGGTGCGGGGCGCCGTTGTCGCTGGGGGCGTCCGCGCCCAGGCCGGGGCCCTCGTGGGAGAGGGTGCCGAGGTCGACGGGGATGTCGTGGGTGGCCTCGCCCAGCGCCCCCGGCCGCTCGCCCGCGCCGTGGCTGCCGTTCTTCTCCTGGACGTTGACCTTCGTGTTGATGACGACCGTCTCGGAGGTGCGGTTGACCTGGACCTCCGGAGGCTTGACGGTGGCGGCGGTGGCGGCGGTGGCGGCGGGCGGAGGCGAGGCGGTCGTTGAGGCTTGGGCGGGAGTCGTCCACTCCGGCCGGGGGACCTCCTCGTACGGCGTGGCCTGGACGATCACCACGTCCTTGTTGAGGTCGCCCTCGGGCGCCGCGCCCTGGGCGGTCTCGTTCGCCGTCACGATCACCACCGGCCTCTCGGTCTCCGCGACGGCCTCGGCCTCCTGGGCGCCGGCCGGAGGCTCTTCGTCTGCGCTGGCCGCCGGGGCCGCGACGACCTCATCCTCGGGGCTTTCCGTTGTGCTTACAGCAGTTGTCGAAGCTGTGGAGGTCGTTGCAGGCTCAGAGGGTGCCACGCCCTCCGCCTGTGGCTCTCGCACCCTCACATCCCCGGGCGAGTCTCCTTCTCGCACAGCAGACATGTTGTGCACCGCCGGCACCTTCTGCGTGGCGTTGGTGAAGAGCGCGAAGTCCTCGAATCGCGTGCCCGGCGAAATGTGGATGCCCGTGTTGTCCCCGTCCGGGTACTTCTGCGGGATGACGCCGGAGCTGCGGTCTCCCTTCTGCGGCTCCGTCTGCTCCACGGCCTGGGCGGCGCCTGCATCTGCCGGGCCGCTGCTTGCGGGAGCGTCTCCTTCAGACGGCTGCTGGGATTCCGCCGTGTCTGCTTCCTTTTCGGCAGGAACAGGTGCGGCGGCGGCAGGCTCTTGGCTCTCATCGTCTGTCTCGGAGGCGTCGGCCGACTTGACTTCCTCCTCACTCGTGGCTGCGTCCTTGACCTCATCCGCTCCCGGCCGGCCACCCTGCTGCTCTGTGGCTGCTGTGGAGGCCGTGCTGGCTGTGGGCGCCGTGGTCGAGGCAGGGGCGCCAGTGGTCGAGGCAGGGGCGCCAGTGGTGGCAGCGGCCGCCGTCGCGTTGCCTTCGGCCGGCGCAGTCGCCGTCTGATTGGTTGGCGCTTCCGAGCTCGTCTGCTGGGTCGGAGCCTCCGTGGATCCCACATCCGTCTTCGTCTGATTGGTCGCTGCGCCCTCAGACCCACCATCAACCTTCGTCTGATTGGTCGCCGCGCCCTCAGACCCACCATCAACCTTCGTCTGATTGGTCGCCCCATCTCCACCCTCCAGGCCTGTGCTCGTCTGATTGGCTGCCGGGTCCGTGAAGGGCGGCTCGATCTCCGTCTCCGTCTCCACGTACTCCGGGATGATGGCGATTAGGCTGGCGTTCTTCTGGTCGAAGATGTCCTTGAAGTGCGGCTGCAAGACCACGGCGCCCGGAAACGTGAGTTCTGCAACGAAGGAGTCGGGTCAGGAGAGCCTTCGGGGATTCGCAGTGGGGGGAGAGGGGAAGGGGGATGGGAGGAGAGGGGAAGGGGGATGGGAGGAGAGGGGAAGGGGGACGGGAGGAGAGGGAAGGGGACGGGGAGAGAGGGAAGGGGGGATGGGAGGAGAGGGAAGGGGGGAGGAGAGGGGAAGGGGGATGTGGGAGGAGAGGGAAGGGGGAGGAGAGGAGAGGGGAAGGGGGAGGAGAGGGAGAGGTGGTGGGGATGGAAGATGTGGGTGAGGGATGGGAGGAAGAGGGGGTGGGGGATGGGAAGAAGGGGTGGAAGGGAGGAGGAGGTGGAGGACGGGAGGAGGGGGTGGGGGACGGAAGGATATGGGTGGGAACGAGACAAAGGATAGAGGGGGAGCAGGAGGAGGAGGGATCTAAATATTGCCAACGATCCCCAATGTCTTCATATCCAGAGAAGATGAAGACTATTTGTCATAAATCATACTTGTTTTAACCAAGGATTACTGAACACTTCATGTTTTTCAATAATTGTGCAACTTCAAAAGCTAAACACAAGCAAAGTATTTAATTTGGTTTTAAAAAAAAAAAAAAAATGGTTTTATAAAGAAATAGACAATTTCAAAGAACAATTTGTGTTATACAATTATTAATGCAATATGTTACTGAGTATCTAAGAGGGCAATACAGTACTGCAAAAAAAAAAAAAATCAAACCTACAAAAAAATATTATATGAGGAGTAGGAGGCAGTCCATGAAAGCAAATATAAAATACAGAAAACGGAGCAAAAATACACAAAGAGCCAAACAGTACAGGAAAACCGATTCATAACAGAAAACGGGGAATAAAGAGGCTATTAAAGAAAATGGAACAGAAACACACAAAAGGGCTTACTACAAAACAATATAAATACACTACAAATACATACAAAAGGAATCGAAAACGAAATGGAAGTAAAGGCGATAAGAAAAGAAAACGTAAAGGAAAGACGTGCGTGTTGCGTGTTTCTGTGCGTCGTACTGGAAACCGTGATGTATATTTTACTGATATACTTCAGTAATATTGATCCAAGTCTATCAACACACTTACCCTCTTCGTTCTGTCTCTCTCTTCGATTTTCTGGTTAATCAGTGTTTTTGTTCGGTGTAATTTCTGTGTTTTTGGCGAGTCTGGGTTTATTTGTCAGCATTTGTTAACGTAGTTGTTGTTTTTTTCTACCATGTCTGGTGGAATGTCTCTTATTTTGTTTTTTACCTTGTCTGGTCTTGTCTAAAAATCGGTCTTTATGTTCCATTTCCACTGAAGTTAGTTTTTAACTTGTTTCGTGGAATTTTGGCGGGAAAAGACAGCGTCCCATGATAATATGCAGCTCCCACGATTCCAAAACGTTGCTGTTATTTTGTTATTAATTTCATGTGAAGCAAATTGTGAAGTCATTTAAGACAGTGACGTCAGAGGTCTTGGGTAACGCTATATTGTTTATTCTCAGGTGACGTCATTACTTGACGTAACAAAGGCGTCACAAATAAAACCGTACGTGACGTCACAGCAGGCCCTCCACACACACTACTAAGTGTCAGATAGCAATTTATATCCACTAATATCCCCAACATCATCATCTGGAAACCTCTGATGGGAATATATATGTAATCTACTTATAATAACCATCTACTTATGGATGTCATGTGTTTTTACAACGAACGGCATTGCTTTACCGTGAAAAAAAAAGAAAAACGAGTGAATGTCTATACCTATCCATCAATTTATTCATCTATTTAGTAATCTCCTTCTTGCTATCGACCTTTCCCTTCCTCCCTTCTTCGTTTCCACAAGCTCGTAAAACCATTATCTATTTTTCCCCTATATTTTCCACTATTTTTCTTTCGCCAGCGTCCCCCTATCTACTTCTAAACAACTACCCATTAGGTCTATTGATATTAATGTGTTGGTCTCGCGTTTACAATGTTCGGTCTATATAATCTGTGTATTCACTGTATACTGAAGGTTGAGTGTCATCTATACTGTCAGGATATACTGCTTTTGTTACGGTCGTGTTTTCAGTGTTTGTCCAGGAGGAATCTGTCTCTTTATTTAAATCCGTTCTTTCACTGAAATCTGTCACTTCAGTATAATCTGTCGTCACCTCGATTCCCTCATTCAAATCTGTTCCTTCGGTAAAATATGGTTTTGTAGTTGAATCTCCTCGCATGGTGAAATCCGACCCTTCACTGATAGATGTACCCTCGATGGAATCTGTCCTTTCTTTGAAATCTGTATTCCCACTGAAATCGATTCCTCCAGTAAAATCTGTAGTAGCCTCTAATCCACCAATTAAATCTGTTTCCTCAGTGAAATCTGTTCCTCCACTGAAATATACTCTTTCATTAGAATCTCTTCCTTCATTAAAATCTGAACCTTCGGTGAGATACGTTCCTAAAGTGTCATCTATTTCCTCAGTGAAATCTGTGAAAGTAGTTCCTTCACTGACAGCTGTCCCCTCAGTCAAATTTGTTTTTTCAGTGAAATCTGTTCTTTCAGTGAAATCTGTTCCTTTACTGACATCTGTCACCTCCGTAAAATTCGTTTTCTCAGTGAAGTCTGTTACTTCAGTGAAATTTGTTCCTTCAGTGAAATCTGTTCTTCAGTGATTTTTTTTTCCTTCAGTGAAATCTGTTCCTTCAGTGAAATCTGTTCCTTCAGTGAAATCTGTGTGAAATCTGTTCCTTCAGTGAAATCTGTTCCTTCAGTGAAATTTGTTCCTTCAGTGAAATCTGTTCCTTCAGTGAAATCTGTTCCTTCAGTGAAATCTGTGTGAAATTTGTTCCTTCAGTGAAATCTGTTCTTCAGTGAAATTCCTTCAGTGAAATCTGTTCTTCAGTGAAATCTGTTTCCTTCAGTGAAATCTGTGTGTTCTTCAGTGAAATCTGTTCCCCTTCAGTGAAATCTGTTCCTTCAGTGAAATTTGTTCCTTCAGTGAAATCAGTTCCTTCAGTGAAACTGTTGTGAAATCCTTCAAATCTGTTCCTTCAGTGAAATTCTTCAGTGAAATCTGTTCCTTCAGTGAAATCTGTTCCTTCAGTGAAATCTGTTCCTTCAGTGAAATCTGTTCCTTCAGTGAAATATGCTCTGCCATTAACATTTCCTGCTTCACTATAATCAGTTCCTGCTGTGGTTTCTATTGCCTCAGTGAAATCTGTTGTTTCATCGAAATCTGTTTCCTCAGTGAAATCTGGTCCTTCTGTGAAATCTGTTCCCTCAGTAAACCCTGTCTCCTCAGTGAAATCTGGTCCTTCCGTGAAATCTGTTCCATCTGTAAAATTTGGTTCCTCAGTGAAATCTGTTTCTTCAGTGAAATCTGTTCCCTCAGTGAAATCTGTTCCTTCAGTAAAATCAGTAAACTCTGTTTCTTCAGTTAAATCGGTTCCTTCGGTGAAATCTGTTCCCCCACTAATATCTGTTATTTCTGTTCCTTCGGTAAAATCTGTGGCTTCTGTGAAATCTGTATTCTCGGTGTAATCTGTTCCTTCAGTGAAAGATACTGTTGTTTCAGTGAGATCTGTTTCTTCTGTTAAATCTGTTATTAGATCAGGTGTCTCAGTAAAATCTGTTCCTACACTGAAATCTGTAATTTCAGTGTAGTAAAATCTGTAATTTCAGTCCAGTCTCTTCAGTGAAATCTGTATTTTCAGTAAAATCTGTTTTCAGTAAAATCTGTAATTTCAGTAAAATCTGTGCTTCAGTGAAATCTGTAATTTCAGTAAAGTCCTCAGTGAAATCTGTAATTTCAGTCCAGTCTGTAGCTTCAGTGAAATCTGTATTTTCAGTAAAATCTGTTGATTCAGTAAAATCTGTAATTTCAGTAAAATCTGTTGCTTCAGAGAAATCTGTACTTTCTGTTAAACCTGTTGCTTCAGTGAAATCTGTAATTTCAGTAAAATCTGTTGCTTCAGTAAAATCTGTAATTTCAGTCAAGTCTGTAGCTTCAGTGAAATCTGTAATTTCAGTAAAATCTGTTGCTTCAGTAAAATCTGTAATTTCAGTAAAATCTGTAGCTTCAGTGAAATCTGTAATTTCAGTAAAATCTGTTGCTTCAGTAAAATCTGTAATCTCAGTCAAGTCTGTAGCTTCAGTGAAATCTGTAATTTCACTAAAATCTGTTGCTTCAGTGAAATCTGTACTTTCAGTTAAACCTGTTGCTTCAGTCAAATCTGTAATTTCCGTAAAATCTGTTTCTCCAGTGTAATCTGTAACCTCAGTCAAATCTGTGGTGAAATCTGTGTTTTGAGTCTCTTCCGTAAGTGTAGTCTCTAAAACAAACAATGTGGTTGTCTTTGCTGTTGTTGTTGATGTTGTTGTTGTAGAAGTTGTAGCAGAAGTCATACTTGTTGTAGGCGATGCCACTGTACCACGGGGGAAAGAAATATATAATTTCATGCAGTAGGATTAATCATGCATTGCAGAAAGAAACATGCAACAGAAATCAATGTTAGGTTTGATTATGAATAACTCAATGCAATAGGCTTCATCATGCATTGCAGAAAGAACCATGCAACAGAAATCAATGTTAGGTTTGATTATTAATAATAAGTCCCGAAAGGCTTGAGAATGAAAATAATAGATGCTGTTAGTTTATTATCATTATTGTTATTATTTTAGTTTTTGTTAGTTTTTTTTTTTTTTTTCTTACTGGAGGTCAGTTAGCAAGGAGGGTGAATATGTATATATATATTATATATATATATATATATATATATATATATATATATATATATATATATATATATATATATTCAGATTCATTCACGCTAATATGATTTCAAAGACAAATAGTATAAGGCTTTGAGGATGCATTTATACACGAAGAATCTTACCACACACACACGCGCGCGCACGCACGCACGCACGCACACACGCACACACAACACACGCACACACACACACACGCACACGCACACACACACGCACACACACACACACACACACACACACACACACACACACACACACACACACACACACACACACACACACACACCAACACACAACACACACACACACACACACACACACATACACACATTCCTTAGGACACTATATTAACCCCAAGAAAGGCCATGCAACTATATATCTTAAGCCGACAGGGTAGAATCCATGATAATAATAATTGCTATTATTATGATTATTATTATTACAATTATTATCATCGTTATTATTATTATCATTATTATTATTATGATCAATACCAACAATAATAAGAACAATAATACTGAGTATTATCATTATCATTATTATCACTATTATTATTATTATTATCATTAATTATTATTATTATCAAAACCATACAAATAATAAGATAAATGAATAAATGAAAAAGTAAATGCTAATCACTAAAAAAAAACACACACACACACAAGAACATGCACCATAAAAAAATAAACGAAACCAAAGACAAAAAACACATCATCCGAACATCACTTACTTGGCGTTCCGCAGTGGGTGTTGTTGATGAGCGTCAACGTGTCCGGACACAAGCACAAGAACTTCAGCGAATCAAAAGAGAACCTGCAGCCATCCGAACACCTCGACGAGTTGCTGCGGCATTCGTCTGACACGTCTGTGGATTCGGACACGGGTTTGAGTTCACGCAAAAGACAAATATGGGCTAAAATAAATAAATAAATAGTGATACGTATAATAAAATATGATACGGAGTAAAACAGCATAACAGAAATGAAATATAAGGAGAAGCGGAAGAATGAATAACGACAATAAATATCATCATCGTTAATCCTGTGATAATTTAAAATATTAACACTAATGATGTGAAAATATCAATAAAAATAAACAACGATAATAGTCATTAGTCTCATAATGACCATTATCACAATTACAATCCTCACAAAAAAAAAAAAAAAAAAAAAAAAAAATCAGTATCAATAAAAGAATTAAAAAAAACACATCCCACATCCACTCACTATCCACATGAACGGATTCCAGAGGTACACTGATCGTCTTGTTGAGATCCAAGTAACCCGTCTTGATCTGTTCTTCCAATTTGTTCTTGACGGTCGTGATGTTCACCGGCGGATCCTGATGGCTCGATTCCTGTTCATTGATGTATTTCCAGGCTATTCTGAAGGTGACCAAAACACTGCCGGATCTGAAAGGTCGAGAGGGTCCTTAGGCCATGGCTCTCGCATTTCCATTGTGTGTGCCAGTCTGTGTTCTTCTCCTTCTCTCTGTCTGGCTGTTTGTCTGTCTGTTTCTCTCTCTAGATCTCTAGATTTCTCCCTCTCTCTAGATCTCTCTGTCTAGCTCTCTCTCTCTCTCTCTCTCTCTCTCTATCTCCCTCTATTTCTCTAGATCTCTCTAGATCTCTCTGTCTAGCTCTCTAGCTCTCTCCCTTCCCTCTCTACCTTCCCCATCCCTCGCCTCCTCCTTCCACCTTTCCTTCCCTCTCCATCCTCCTCCTTTTCTCCCTCCCCATCCTCCCTTTCCCCTCCCCTCTCTCCCCGTTCAACCCTCTTCCTCCCTTCCCCTCCTCCCCCCTTCCTTCTCTCCCTTCCCCTCCCCCTTCCCCTTCCCCTCCCTCTTCCCCCTCCCCATCCCCTCCCAACTCCCTCTCCCCCCCCGTTCAACTCACTCTTCCCATACCTTCCCCTCCCTTCCCTCTCCCTCCCTTTCTCCTCTCCTCTTCCCCATCCTTCTCCTTCCCCCTTCCCCACCCCCCTCCCTCCTTCTCCCTCCCCTCTCTCCATCCCCCTCTCCCTCTCCTTCTCCCACCTCCCTCCTCTCCCTTCCCTCTCCTCCTCCCCTCCTTCTCCCCATCCCACCCACTCCCTCTCCATCCCCTCTCTTTCTCCCTCACCCCATCCCTCTCCTTCTCCCCCTTTCCCTTCCTCTCCTTCCCCTCCTCTCCCATCCCCCCCACCTCTCCTCCTCCTTCCCCTTTCCCCTCCCACTCCCCATCCCCCTCCTCCTCCTTCTCCCTCACCCATCCTCTCCTCCTCTTTCCCCTCCTTTCCTTTCCCCTCTCCCTTCCCTCTCCCCGCCCACCCACCACAAAAAAAAAAAAAACAACTTACTCAAATCTTATAACTTTCAGCATCATGTTCGCCTTCCCGTTGAAACTGATGTCGTCCGTTAACAGAATCGATCTTAGCTGAAAGTAGAAAAAATAAATAAATAAAAATGGGTTAGTAAAATAAATGCTGAAAGTAAAAAAAAAAAAATAATAATAATCAAAATAAGTATAATACAGTGCTGAAAGTTAAAAAAAAAAAATTGATAAATAAAAATAATTAAGTAAAACAAAAGCTGGAAGGGGAAAGAAAAAACAAGTAAAATAAAAACCTAAACCTAAAAAAAAAAAAAAAAAAAAAAAAAAAAAAAAAAAAAAAAAAAAAAAAACAAAAAAAAAAAAAAAACAAAAAAAAACACACATCACCCAATTCTCACACACATAAATCAAAGACTTTTTTTTAATAAGATCCCAAACCCCTACCTCTTGCTCCAGGGCCTGTGCGAACGTCTTGTAAGCCTCTGAGGTTGGGATCGCTAAATCACTCGAGTAATTTCTGTTGCTTATTTTAAACTGGGATTCTATGGCATTTGGAACTGAAATGGGAGAGAGAAAAAAATATGGAAATGGGTTAGGTACATGTTGAGGAGATATTTGTGGATATGTTAGTTGTGTTTATCTATCTATTTATTTGTCTGGGATTCTATGGCATTTGGAACTGAAATGGGAGAGAGAAAAAAATGGAAATGGGTTAGGTACTATATTCATTTTATCTATTTCTTTATCTATATTCATTTTATCTATTTCTTTATCTATATTCATTTTATCTACTTCTTTATTTGTATTTATTTGTCTATTTCTTTATTTGGATATATTTATTTATTTGGTAATTTATATTCATTTATTTGTTTATTTATATTCATTTATCTATTTATTTATATCTATTTATCTATCTTTTTATCTATTTATCTCTCAGTTTATTAATGTCTACCACTAAACCACACCATATATATACATACATATACATATATATATATATATATATATATATATATATATATATATATATATATATATATATATATAAACAAATACAAACAAACAAAAACAAACACATCACCCAAGTAAAAAAAAAAAAATCGAATCACAAAAAAAAAAATAACAAAACCAAACCAACAACAACAACAAAAAAACAATAATAAAACAAAAAAAAAAAAAAAAAAACAAAAAACGAAAAAAAAACTTCGCTCACAGAAAAAGTTATTCTGCGCCGGCTGGATGCCCCCGGGCGTGGTCTCCTTCCCCGACAGGCCGCTCGCGCCCTGGACGTCGCTGTCGTTGGTCCCCTTCCGAGCTGGTGGAGGAGGTGGTGGGGGTGGAGGAGGTGGTGGGGGTTGGAGGTATTTAAGGTGGTGGGGGAGGTGGTGGGGCTTAGGCAGGGTGTTGAGGAGGTGGTGGAGGGTTTTAAGGTGGTGGGGAGGTGGTGGTGGAGGTTAGTCGGTGTTGGAGGTGTTGGTGGGTTTAGTCAGGTGTTGGAGGAGGTGTGGAGGGTATTTAAGGTGTTGGAGGAGGAATGTTGTCAATGTTGGAGGAGACGGTGGTGTTATTTAAGGAGTTGGAGAAAATAGAGGTAAGTCATGATATTGGAGGAGAAAGTGGTGGCTATTTAAGTGTTGGAGGAGAAAATAGGGATCATTTAAGATGTTGGAGGAAAAATGGAGATTACTTCAAGTGTTGGAGTGTGATAACGGAAAAGAATAAAGATGGCATGGAAGAATCATCTCTCCAAATGTTGGAGATGGAAATGGAGAAGATGAGTCCAGATGCCATGTTAAAATCCTTTTATAATGAACTAAAGAGTTGTTAAGATGGTATGTTAAAAAAAAAATTAATTATCTCTCCAGCTGTTGAGGCAAAAGATGGATTATCAAAGGTGTTGGAGATAAAAAATTAGATTTTTGATTATTTATTTATTTATTATTATTATTATATTTATTATTATTATATTTTTTGAGGAAAAAATAAGATTATATAAGGTTTTGTAGGTGAAAATTGAGATTATTTAAAGTGTTGGAGGTAAAAATGTAGATTTTTTATTTATTTATTTATTTATTTATTTATTATTATATTTTTTTTTGAGGTAAAAATAAGATTATATTAGGTTTTGGAGGTGAACATTGTAGGTAAATATTGTGATTATTAAAAAGATTCTGGAAGTAAAAAATAAGATTATTTAAGTTGTTGCAGATGAAAATTGAGATTTTTAAAAAGATTTTGAAGGTAAAAAAATAAGATTATTTAAAAAATTCTCTAAAAATTTCTCCAGCTGTTGGAAAAAAATAGAACTTTAAAATTTCATATAAAGATAAAACAAGCTAAAAAAAAGAATATGGATAAATGTGTCACTTGGGCAGAGTTGACAAAAATTTCTAATCCATTCTAGCAGAAAAAATACCTATTTCTTATCATCATTATTCCTAGCACCATTATCATTATCATAAAAAAGACAATAAAACTAACAAAAATGATTATAAAAAGGCAATTAAATGACAACTCTCCAAGGAACAAAAACCAACCAAAAATCAACATTAACAAACAAAAAAAAACAAACAAAACACCAAAACACAAAAACAAAAAACAAAAACACACAAAAACACACAAAATCACACACAAACACAAAAAACACAAA